ATATAGTATAATGCATATTGTTTATTTAATAAATTCTAGTAGTTTAAAGATTTTTATTTTTTTGTAAAATTTAAAAGAATAATTAAATAAATGTTACTACAACCAAAAGTTTGTTTTTTCAATGCACAGTGGACAATATCCCAGGATTAATTTATTCATACGTAAACTAAACTGGAAAACAAATATGTTGGAGTGGGAAATGCATCACATTTTTAATGTATTTTTAGCAACTTAGCTGATGAATTACAAGTGCAGATGCTGGAGCTAAACCCAAATTACCAATGTTTTTTTTTTTGTTGTTTATTTGAGTGTAATTTTTTTAAATAATAAAAACATGTATCACGATGGTAACTGTCGACCATATAACATCCAAAGACTAAACCATCTCATTTCATAGTCATTTTATGCAGCCTAACAGGACTGTGTAGGGTGTGGCCTCTGCGGGCTGCGGTCTACATGGGCTGCAACCTCTGAACTGAGACATTGCTGGAGTTGTAGATGGACTTTGCCAAACAAAAACAAAACAAAAAAAACAGAGCATGTGTAAACATTTAGCAAAATATAAGTTGGGGATGAGTCAATAGTTGCTTTGCATTGGCGGCCATTTTGAAACCAGGTAATCACTTCCTGAAGGCTTCATTAAAATCCGTTCAATGACTCATGAGATATTTTGTTAACAGTACAGACAAACAAATCTACACATTATTGATCCCATTCGTCAGTGGGCGATAAAACTTACATTTTAAATATCTGCACGTCTTCTTGCATCACATCAGCTTCTCCAGACAACATTTAAATACTTCCACCGCTCCTCTGCAAATATCGGATGATCAATTATGAATCTGCAGCCGCCTTCCTGCATGTCGACTTTGAATAACGACCCTGAAACACAGAACAAAGCCTCCTCCGTGGGTGTCCATATATTTTATGTAGCAATAAAGAGCTGCAGCAGTCAAATTACTTTGTAGGGACAACAACGGTAAAAACAGCCGAGCTACCGTGCAGGAAAGAGAGGACTTACTGTATATTATCAAACATTAAACCAAAGTAAAGATATGGATCTTTTGAACTGGGGTTCTGTGGACAGGTTCTGAATAAATTATGTCTTACCTGTTGTAGGCAGTTCTTTGATCGACCTCATTGTGGAGAAATAAAGCTAAATTCTGCACAGATGCTAACTTAACATTAGAAAAGCTGTAGAAAAGTTATAGATTAGCATCATGTTTACTGGAATTTTATTCACAAATCTAAAATTTTAGAGTCTTTATTTATGACAGCCAAGTTATGACTTTATTTATTATTAATAGACATTTTCTTCAGGGTTTAGTGCAGATGAAAAAAAAACATGATGTTTCTACTACATGATATTACGATAACTCTGCTGGGATCAAAAGCAGCAAATCTCCTGACTGTTTTAAAGTGGAAGCACAGATAAACATTAACATTATTTTTTATATAAGTGATTTAAAGTCTATAATGTCTGCAATGCATTTAAAATAAATCTTTCTTTGCATCTTTAACAGGTAAGATGTTAATTGTTCATAACTTTCCCACTGAATATTACTTCAAAAGTTCTGAAGTAACGATTCATGTAAAAAATAAATAAACAAAGAAGGAGCATAAAGGAGAATGTAATTTCTCTTTTTTTCTGCGGGGAAATGTTTAAATCTGCATCGAGTCACAGAAATATGGAAACGCTTCACAGAAAGCTGCGGAAAYGGAACGTTTGTGCTCTCAGAGAAAGATTTGTTGGCAGCGACAAACCTGAAGAAAATTATCACCCGTCGCTGCAGCTGCCCCCAGCTCCACTCAGCTGTTTGATGTGCTTCAGTTGTTTGTTTTGTTTTGTTTAYGACCTGCAGTGCTTCTGTTCTGGTTGACTCTAACAGCTCTCATCAGCCTCAGTCAGCTGGTTTCATGAAAAAAACAAACAGAAAAAGAACACGGTTTAAAGTGAGCAAGGATTTGAAACTGTATAAAACTAAAAAAAAAAATAGAGTTTTGTTTTATTTTTCATGGCTTCTTTCAGCTTCATTTGTTTTAGCTGCGATACTTGTAACACTTCAAATCTGTTGATTTCAGCAACATTTTTTAGTTATTTTCCCCTGAAAAAATGTGATGAAAGTAATTTGCTGTTATATAAAACTCTTTTAGTACACCAACATAATTATGGCACATATTTAGAGGAGTGTGTTTATTGCTTTGTATAAAAAATGCAGTTTGTAGTTATTAATACCCAACAATACATAATTAGTTTCCATAAAGCAGTGGCAGAACTGGACTTTTATGCAACGGGTGGTCGGGTTATTTTCAGGTGGGCTCATATAATACAAACCAACATGTATGTGTCCTCATTTAATTAAATCACCTGTCAATCAACTGGGATGGACAAATCAGGTTTCAGGGTAAAGTGCCACCCCTTTGGCTCCAGCCCTACCCTTAAGGCACACATGTCAAACTGAAGGATCGTGGGCCAAACCAGGCCCTTGTTAACATTTGATCTGGCCCCAGAGTACAATCTTTAAATGTGAACTAGTTGCATTCTTCTCATGACAGTTGGACAACTTTCAAGCCAAGAAAATATAATTTGAATTTCTCAGTAATCTGTGATTTTGGTGTTGAAAGAGCAACAGGGAATCACCTTTATTGTCATTGTTTGCATTCTCTTATTTCACAGTGAATTTATTGATTTTTTTGTGTGTTTTTTGTTTTCAAATTTGCTGGATTGTGATCAAATTTATCTAAATGTAAGAAAGTAGAGATTAAGTCATAAGAAATATATGCTAATGATGAGTCTTGTTAGGTTATTTTTATTCTAAATAATACATAAAACAATTTAGAAAAGGTAATTTGTATTCCTATAAGAACAAGTTATCAGATAACTTTTATTTTCAATAAATGTTAACAAATTATTCTTGGGTTGGACCAAGTTTTGAGTTCTGAGTTTGAAACCCCTGCCTTAAGATTTATTTTTCTCAAGATATTTATAAAAGATAGTGTTTATACTTATCACAGTTACAATGCTTTATGTGGTTTGTTTTATATGTAAAATAATAATCTGTAAATTAACTGGTCATTAAACTAATGACGTATATGTTTTGGAGCTGCTTCAGAATGACAGCAAACAACTATAAATGATCTCCATCATTATTCAACAGACTGAGTCTCTGATAAGCAACGATATGAATTTGCTTTAAACAGTCAGCGTCTGTTTGTGTTCTTTTCCTGTTTGTGATGTTTATTTATTTTTTTGTCCAGATCATCCTTCAGGAACTAATTTTATCTGCTGTTGACAGGATTCAGACTCGGGGATGTACACATGCGTTGCATCGAGCAGCACGGGGGAATCCAGCTGGAGTGGGATGTTGACTGTCAGAGGTACTTTTACACTCTCACTGTGACACTCTTCTCACTCCAACACTCTTGTCAGAGCTCCTCGTGTTGTTTTAACGAGACACAATCCTCCACAGTTTAACTGTTTGTTTATTTGTTTGTTTGTTTTTTCTGGTACAGAGGCTGGATCCTCCTCAGGATCCAGAGTTTCTGAGTTCATCCAGCTTCCAGGACCTCCTCAGAAACCTGTAGTGACCGAGGTGACGAAAAACACGGTGACCCTCACCTGGCAGTCCAATCCACACGAAGGCGGCGCCGCCGTCACCTCCTACGTCATCGAGGCCTTCAGGTCAGTTTTTAAATCAGACTCTGTTCTGATCCGAGTGAGTTACTGAAGACCCAGCGTGTCATAAAGTTTCTACATTGTTGCTTTTAGATTTAACGATGACATCATTTTTATTTTTTTTTTGTCTCAGAATCAGAGGAACTTTACTGCCATCTGGAAAACTGTTTAATTTTTTTTTTCAAAACAAGGAAGAAAAAGACTGCTCAGCTTCAGAGTAAACTGGATCAAACCAAAGTCTGAGAGTCAGAATGTCCACAAATGAGAAAATAACATGATTAGTTGTGAAAACAATGTAAAGTCTAACCCTGCTTGACGGACTCCACATCATCGCCACTTTACATCCCAGAGTTTTGGACCAAATTTATCTTGTGTTGAAAATAACGTTACCTCATGCTCAAATGTTAGCTCAACATCTGTAAATGTGACTGAGCAACAGTCGTGTTCGTGTCAGTCGGATGTGGCAGCCATCTTGAATATGGTTGGATACAAAACTTGTTTAGTTGTGTACGGGTGTTAGTTGTGATTATTTCCTGAAAGTTTATATACAGTATGTATTCATTGGTTAATGAGTTATTTCGCTAACAGAGGTTACACCAAACAGCTTAATACCATCGACTCAGAAAGTTGATCAGTTTTTGAATTTGTTCTTTGATTCATGATGTTGGTAACAAACAAAAAAACATAGACATGGACAAAAACATCATCTACCTTAAAACAACAATAACAATAATGAAGCAGTAAATAATTTTGATCAATTGTTGAGTAATATTGAATAACTTTAGCATTTTTGTTTGTGTTTCTCTTGCACATTTTATTTTACGTAGCCTGAAATGACAACTTTTTGTATTTTGTTTAGTCAGGTTTTGTCATGGTTTGTCAGTTTTTTCACCTTGGTTTTCCTTGTGTTACTATGTTCCCCAGTGTGTCTCTGCCCAGCTGCTCCTTATTAGTCTTGATTGTCACCCTTGTGTTTCTCCTCAGATGTTTTCTGTTTAGTCATTAGTTTTCAGTGTATTTAAGCCCTGTCCTGTCTCAGTCTTATTGTCGGTTCATTGTGTTTCTGTGAGTCTCCTGCTCTGTACCTTGATCCTCTGCCTGAAGTTTGCTGCCATCAGCCCTCTTTTGTTGTTTAAATAAATCCTTTTTGCACCTTTTGAAACAAGCCTGCGCCCTGGGTCCATTCCTCCACCAATCCTGATAGGTTTATGTTAGCCTGGTAAAAACCAGACCCTTGTCCTTCGCTTTGCTTTGTACGAGGGTCTGGACTCTTGGCTATAGAAAATCGATTCTTGCTGGAGGCGTGGCCTCTGTTGAAGTTTAAAATGATTGGATCGGTTGGCCACGACGTATGTCGCTGTGAAGGAGGCTAAGCTAAGAAGCTAACCAGAAATTGCGTGCGCTGTAATCAACCCTACTGAGAGGAGAAAAGTACGGAGCCGAACAAGACGACTGTAAATGAGAGCTGCTGCTTTGTCAGACAAATTTAATTTAATTTGGAAGCCTTATCAACACGGACTGGCTTCATTCACTTCCTCCACTGCCGTATGCTAAACTAACTAGCAGACAATGTGCAGAAAATTTATGTTATTCAAAACTCCACCTTCTGTTCTCTGATTGGCCCAGGTAAAATAAACTGACAAGCAGGCACTACGCAGAAAATCAACATTCTGTTCTCTGATTGGCCCGGATGAAAATTCTCCCGAAGAAATCCTTGTCTATGGGAGAAATCCAAGACAGAGCAGTGAAGGGAAACTTGAATTGAGCGGAACTGCGTAGAAAGGCAAGGGTCAGGCTAGGTTTAGGTATAACTCAGTTAGGTTTAGAGAATAAACACCACAGATCATTTAAAATAACATCACATATAGAAACTGCTGCAGGATATTTGGCCGTAGAACAGTCATCATGCACAGAAAAAAAGCTTTTTTTATGACAAAATATCATTCAGCATCAAAGTTTTTAATATCTCTTCAAAGCAAAAAACAAAATGTATAAAACACTAAGTAGAAAAACTTGCCCACATCCCTTCATGGCATAAGAATAAAACACTAATACAGTTTTTCTCTTTTTTGTGCATTTTGAAGCTAATTTTGTGTCTGAGTTCAACTTCGGCAAGAATCCTCCGTTTAACACTCCAGTCCTGAAAAACGGTTTCACTTTTCGCTGACTTCATAATAAAGTCATCCTTATTTAGAGCCATTAGTTTGGAAATGACTCATCTCTGCCCGAGGACAAACAGTTTTATGGAGCGACTTGAGGGGAGAGGAGAGAGTGACGCTCGCTGCCTCCGTGTTGTAACCGGCTCGTCCTGAGGAGAGCCGGATCAGCTCTAACAACCGACCAGGGGCTGCGGCGAGTGGAAGGAGGAGACAATTACTGCAGTGGACGGCCTGGCAGCTCTGTCCTGTCCCGGGGCAACGAAGGGAGGGGACGAGTCAGACACTCGGCTCGTTACAGAGAAGCACGCAGACGTTTATCTCCGTGCAGACAATAAATCCACGGAACAGAAAAATCTATTCTCTGAGAATTGGTTGTTTTTCAAACAGGTTTTCTTTTATCACCAACAACCATAAAAACTGGACAAATGCATCCTCTGAGCCGTTTGTCTTACTGTTAGCAAAATATCTCATGGACCATACTGCTTTTAACCTGCAGTGTTCCGTCAGAGTGATGCTATATCAAGCTATATTTCCTCAGTCCATCCCAGACAGACATGAGCACACACACACTTCTTTGTCAATTTAATAACATCATTTGACTTTAATTGCATGTCAAAGGGAACATGTAATGTCCGAGTAAACCAACACAAGAACACAAAAGGACAGCTAAAAACTGCAGCGCCTCCATCCTTTCCTGTTTGATTTAGAAGAATGAAACTCTTTTAAGGCTATTTCAAAGTGCAGCTTGGCTGTTTAAAAGTCAAAACTGTTTCCGTGGAGAAGGTTTGGGAAGACTCGAGCACCCGATGAAAAGAAAAATCTGTGACCCGCCTGATGTAATTACCTCGCAGCTCTCCTCTTCTCGGCGTCAAGGAAAATGTTAAACAGCACTCACGCTGTTGAACAGGGCCGGCACCGGCGCCGCAGACAGCTTTTTGTTTTCCTGCAGAACTCATCCTGACGAGCCGACCTGCTGCATTAAAGGACGGATTAAAACTCTGAGACTTGCTGAGAGCTTTTAGGGACAAACAGGGTCTCAAAGACTCAAGAAGGAATCAATAAATTCTTCATTTGTTTTTCTTGTTCAGTGACGGCTACTAAAAGATTGCTGTGGAATAGTTTTTTTGAGGGGGTGTGGGTTTGCTCACTGTTTTGCTGCGAGATAAATAAAAAGGTCTTTGTACTCATTAAACACACAAAATGTTTTTAATGAGTTTTTCTAATGCTGTTTGGTGGATTTCGGTAGTTTTTGAAAATATGAGTCAATTGCTTTTTTTTACTCTTCTGAAGGAAAAATAAGTTGCTTTTTTCATTTGTCTCAAAAACATATTTAAAATGAACAAGAAGTTTTAATGAAAAAAGAAACTGTCGATGATTATGTTTAGTACACTTTGAATGGGTTTATACCAACTGATGTTGTCTATTAATGCAACTATAATCTACTAGAAATCTTAAAATATGAAGAAAAAGAGACATTCATTTTATGTTAATGTAGATTTTTATTTATAAAGGCAGAAAAAAGTCATGTAAAACAATCATATGTTTTAATATAAGACTACTGATGTATCAACAACACAAATAATAGAAAAATATTAAATATACATTCCAAAATAATGCGGTAAGCTAAACGACTTCTTTATTGCTGTTTAAAATGTTTTCTTTGTTTTTTATGACCGAAAAATTTTGAAATCAGTACAGTCGATGGTCTTGTTTTGTTCTTTTTGGCCAGTATGTAAGGATCTGAACTTTATACGTCACAACATGGCCAGGATTGACGTGTGTAAAGGGGACTTGGACCCCGTTGATAACTGCTCACAGTTTTACTTATTTTTTGTTTTTCTTGTGTTTAAATTTCATTAGTTCCCGTTAGCCACGCCCACTCTCACCTGTTTCTAGTTTGTGTTCAGCTCAGGTGTCTCCACTTCCCAGTGATCCTCCACAGTTATTGCAAGTTTTCTGCCATGTCAGCTTTTTGTTTTTGTTAAATAATATAATTTCAAATTTTATTCAAACTGCATTCCTGGGGTCAATTTCTACACAAAAATCACAATATGTATTTTTTCATTTAGCAAATTATAAAAAATAATTGCTTTACTTGCATAAATCTTAATTCACCAACCCATAGAAGAATTTGTACACTTAAAGAACAACATTCTTGCTTAAATAAATCTAAACCGTGGGCTGCAGTAAGCTGTTTGGAGCAGCTGCTGTGTCTGTTGAGTACAGGAATGACAGATTGCCAGTTTTTAAAATATTGGCCAATTAATTGGTCTGTGTCTAAGGAACAGGCTGGTTTCAGCTCTAGGGTTGCTGTTTTAAATAATGAAAAAAAAAATGTAAGATACAGACCAGATTGGCAGGTGCACAGGTGCTCACAATGAACGGTGATGTGCAGGTGGTGCTCCGTCGACAGCAAAAGCAGGATAAAAACAGTGGAAAGACAGGCTACACACCAAGATTTAAGGTAAAAAGTAAAAGGTCCTTTAATAAAAGAATGGACCAGCCATTAAATGAGTTGCCTACCGGCTCGGTGACTAACGCACCTTCAACAGGGCAAATATCATATGATATTTGCCCTGTTGAAGGTGCGTTAGTC